AATAATAAATAACATATGTAATTAAAATTTTATAGAATAATTATATCTAATAAATATTATAATATTAATATATAATACATATATAAACACCAAATAAAATTTTTTTGCACACAAAAGAAAATATAAGATAAATTGATTAAATTACATGTTTTAAAAAAATTAAATTTATTGAATTATGTGTTCAAGACTGAAAATTTAGAAATAAGTTCATAATTTTTTTTAATAATTATTATTACATACCATCGTGTTTTTAAAAGTGTAAAAAATAGTAAAAATGACATATTTTATTTTCAATTTTAAGTTTCTTTTAAAAATAAACACATTTTCATACTTATTTTTCATTTTTTAAAATAAAAATAAAAATGGTGAAATCAAACAGGTCGTATTTCTCATATTTTAAATTTATAAGGATTATGTAAAACTGTTTTGGTATATCAAATTAAATTGAATAATTCTTTTGGGAATGAAATCGGTTTTTGTATAACGTCCCTCTCTCTTTAGAGTTGGGGTTGGAACATCCTACTATAGCTCCTTTCTTCTTGTCATTGCCTTTCTATTCTGATTCCAAGTCATTGACCAAGACTTAGAACCAGCGGCTTGCTTGGAAGTTTCCACCGGACCAATATCTTGTACCATACGCTCAATTATCACAATCCACAGTCTGATGTGAAGACCAGAGTTGACCTGGTTAAATACTTAAATGTGGCTTTCAGCTCATTTACCACGAAATTTCTATGAAAGTCGATGCTGAGATACAAAGGTAACGCATCTTTAAAATATGAGGGTAAATAAAAATTTATAAAATTTACGAATAGTTTATTAGTTAAAAGTCTTTTGAATAATGATAAAAATAAAATAAAATAATGAAAATTTAATTTTAAAGTACACAATATAAACCAAATGTGGAGATATGTACAAATGACAAGAATATAGAAGAAAAAAATATATTTCTCTCAAAGAAAGCAAAACTAGTGGCTGCCGGTTTTTCTGTTCCTGAATGCAAATCTTTGTTGCTTGAGATTTGAGAATGAATCTTGGGTTCATGCTAATCAAAATTCAGAGTTGGCTGCAGCAGCCAAAGGTATGGAGATTTGTGTGCTTTGTTTCATGTATTGTTGGACTGTGCTGTTATGCCCTCGGCTCCTCTTTCAATGATTTATTCGGCAAGTGGAGTTGGTGGAAGATATTACTTTACATTGTTGTTAGTTCTATTATCTGCCTTGCTGTCTTGTTCACAATGTCATGGCAGGGCTCCACTTCTCTCCCGCTGGAAGCTAATATTGGCTTTTTGGTTTTGATGATCACTTGTGTTTACTCATTTTTCTTTGATAAAGTGGTGAAAGGAAAACCAGATGCATATAGTCTGCTTTCAAGTGCTGCTTTTGCTATCATGTCTGTAAGCTTGTCAAGACTGAGCCACTGTGGATTTGAGGTTGATCTCTTGTATTTTTTCAGTGGGCTTCTAACCATTCAACTCATGAAAATAAAATTGTGGTTAGTTATTGTTGGAGGGAGTTTCAGTTATTCTCTCATCAAACTTCGTTCCACGTTGAATGTTCATGTTTCACTGATACATAGGGATCTTGAACTCCAAGTCGTAGACGAAGACATTGAAAGCGGATTACTACTTTCAGCAAGAAGCAGTGCTTCCCAATCCCAAGCTATTATTTCACAAGCTGATGTCCCTCTAGAAAATGAGGATCTAGCAATCCTACTCACTCAAATCGGTTCAGATTCACAAGACCGTGATATATTTGACTCCAAAAGTTGGAATATAGAGAGAGAATTGGCACAGCAGCCGGAGCAGCTTTTATCTTCTTTTGTCGAGCTTATCTCGAGTGCAAGTTCCATTAAACGTGCTGCAAGATTTCAACCGCTGATTAAGTCTTGCACAGTAATTGAGAAAGAGAGGATCAAAGAAATTCTCATTGCACGATTCATGGCTCGTATAAAGGCACTCAAGAAGAAGAATAGTAGTGTTATCAGCATGATTTCCAAGCACGTAGACACATGCCTTAAAGTTAATATTGTCGATACAGACCTGATTCCCGTGCCACAACGGGATGACAACTTGGTGTTGGATGCGTTGCAGTTTGGAGATGATGACAATACTTTCGACGACCTGCGTGAAACCGCGAAGCTGATGGTGATGGCAGGGTTTCAAGAGGAATGCTGCGCAGCGTACTGTAGTTGGCGGAGGGAGTTTCTGAATGAGACTCTCTCCACATTTGGATTGCAAGTGCAAGACATTCACAAGAAAGACAAAGCTCAGTGTTTGATCAAAGCTTTGATCGTAGCTGTGAGGATACTGTTTCCCTATGAAAGGAGACTCTGCGATCGGGTCTTTGGAATGTCCAACATTTCCTCCGATTTTGCTTTTACAGATGTTTGCACGGAATTAGCTACATCTCTACTAAGTACTGTCGATACCTTGGCAGATTTGATCCCTCATGCATTGGAGGAGCTCATGTATGAATTCGAAACACTGTTTTTTGGTAAGTACAGTAAATCGCTCAAAATTGATGCACGCAAGGTTCGGAAGAGTTTGGGCATTTTAATGGATTCAGAGAATGTTCTTACTTATTGCGGCCACGGGCTTCTTCCGGTTACCCTTCAATTGTCGAACTATATTCGTGATAATTCCATTCAAACAGCAAGTGACCTTAAGCAAGATTCAGATGGAATGCTTTCACCTTCCATGCAATTAGTCATGCTAACAAGGCTGTTCGAGAGGAGTTTGAAAGTTAACTCCAAAAATTGCAATAACCCTACTTCGGGTTATGTTTTCATCCTCAACAATCGAAGCTACATACACCGAGACGCATATATGCATCAACAGACATCTAATTTCTATTTTTGGCTCAGAAAAAACAAAACAAAAATCGAAAAATACCTTCAACTCTATCGGAAGAGCTCATGGACAAAGATTCTGAACATTTTGAAGCTGGACATGGATGAGTCAGAACCTAATGCTGCAGCCGAGTTAATGAAAGATAAGCTTCGTTCCTTCAACGAACACTTTTATGATATATGCAACGATCAGTCTACGTGGTTTGTCCTTGATAAGTTGTTAAGGAAACGGATGATAAATTCCATAGAAAGCATCTTGTTGCCAGCATACGGAAACTTCATTGGGAGGTTGCAGGATTTTCTTGGTAATCATGCTTACGAGTTTATTAAGTATGGAATAATTGACATTCAAGATCGACTCAACAATTTGTTTCTTGTTACGGAGTAGATGGATCTCGTCATGCCAGAAGAAAGGAAACAATAATCGAGTTTGCTTAGAATTTTAATAATTGACATTTATTAAGTATGAATGATTACTTATTAAATAAATGGTTACTTATTTATTTTGAACAATACAGTTTTCGAGTTTAAGTTTGTCTTATTCTTAAAATGAAAGTTTCACAAATAATAATTTTGATGCTTAAATTTGGAATACGATATTTAGAGGCCAAAATAATGCGAAATAGTTTAGAGACTTATTTTGATTTGATATTTTAGATGTTTATTCAATCAATCTTAATTAAACACTACCGGGGCTTGAGTTTACATTTAGGTTGAAACATTGCTAATTTCCAAGCTGAGTCTGTGATATGTAGGACTTTGGAGTATGATGACTTTATTTCCTAACGTGTTGCCTTGATTTATTTTCCAGGAAGGCAGAATGATTATTAAGATGGAAAGTGAAAACATTTAAACCTTAAAAAGTGAAGTTTGTCTTGGGGAACATAGCACTGATTTTAACTCATTCACATGTATTCTCAAATTGCAAGGCAAACAATTTTGTAGTGTGATTTTACATCCATTCTACACCCAATATTTTTTCCCATCTGAGCAACATAAATTCCATTATTCATTAAAAAAAAAAAAACAGAGCATAGAGCAGGGTCTTGGTAGGTTTTCTTGTTATTAAGAAACACAAACAATACAAGAAACTATCAATATTTGAATTAGGAATTTGAGTAGAGAATATTTCTGAACTTTCACTTTATATTGTTTTCTAATTTTCTTCACGGAGATGGTTATTGCCTTTTCCCCCTGCCATTACCTACATAACTGTTATTTTTTTTAAAATTTTTATTAAGGGTTAACGCAGTTGATTCCAAGAAAGGTAGCATCAAGTCGAGCTTTAATGATTGCACAGTAACCGATCAAGTAGCCTAGATAATTTGCAGCATTAAACCACAAATGCACCGCTGAAAATCAAGCTTGAGATACCTAGGTGGGTGTTTAGTAATTCTTTTATGCGCATTAATTTGTTTTTTCTTTGTACTTGCTGAGAAGTGGTGATTGTCCATACAAAAGAAACTTTGATGTTAAAGTGATGATTGGACATGCAAAAGAGATTTTGGTACCAAAATTATCAAATGTTCATGTATTATATGTAAAGTTACCTATCTCTTGAAGGTTAAATACAAGTATATTTATAAATAAAAAAATATTACTCTTAAAGATTTGATCATTTAAGTGTATTCAAAATCCTTTATTATCTTATAATAACCAACTATTATTTTCTGTCATAATTGTGGTGAGAAGTGTTTGGTTAGGTCTCATACTTCTTGACTTTATTAAGCAATATTTGGTTGTTAGGAACACTGTTCATATTAGAGTGTCACTCTAGGATTGGAGACTAACAATATCTTTATTCTAAGACCTATCTAATATATGTTTGTTTGTGTCATTTTTGTTTAAAGCAAATCATATTACTAAATTGTATAAATTATACTACAAATGAATTAACGGTGCTAACTAGTCAAGGTTGATTTGTTTTTTTTTATGTGTTCCTTCTTATTGTAGAAGGTTTAGTGACTAATCGAGTCTTTGTTTAGGATGTTTAAAAAAAGCAATTTACTTGTAGAAAGATTTAATAACTGCTTTTCTCTACAAGTAATTATTCGGTTGAAGTTTATCACAAGTTTGTGTATCAAATACAATTTTAAATAAGTTATTATTTCTAATTTTCTTTTCCTCGTTTTGGTCACTCAGAGTCTCCAATATTCCTACATAAAAATAGAAAGAAAGAAAAAATTCTTTATTCGTTATCTGAATAAAATCATTTGATCCAGTTTGGTCTTTGAAAAAAGAAGTCACCCAATAGTCTTTGGAAGTTTCAAAGGATTATGTATACATGAGACGTTTAAGTTCTTTCTTCTAATTTTAGTACATGATTAGTTATAAAAAGTTGATCATGTATTTATAATTATATTTTATCAAAATTAGTCTTTGAAAATGTTAACTCAAATTGATGAAAGAATTGTGAGAGACAATAGCGCCTTTTATGATGACCTCCACTAGTGGTTGATTCATGTTAAAGTAGTAAGATTTTTTTTATTGTAATTAATTATGATTACTTTAAATAAAGTTCTATTATAATTATATTTGCTTAGTTCAGTAAGTAATATCTTATTAACTATTTGATTTTAGGCAAATTTATATACTTAATAATAGTATGTACATATACTTTAGTGACAACATTTTATGGGTAGGGATGGATGTACATGGAGTACAATGGGGGTACTTGTCCCCACTACCATTTAACACAAACATATTTTTTTTCATTCAATATATTTTAAAATATAAAAATTATATTCTAATAAAATAAATATATATTTAAATTATAGTGTGTATAAAATATAAATTTGAAGGAGGTATTCATTTATTTGATATTTGTCAAACTTTCGAAAGAAATTAATTCTCATGTGATAAAGAATACTTCTTAATAATGAATCATTTTTTAAAAAAGTTTAATTATTATATATATATTAATGCTCACATATATAATGTAATATATTAAAAAAATTAATTTTTAATAAAATAAAATTTATAACATGTATGTTTACCTTTTGTGCTTTCTATTTATTGTATGCGATAATTAAAAATATTAAAATAATAAATATTGTATATGTTGATTAAGAAAAATAAAAATAGGAAAGATTAAAAAATTTATGTTTTGTTTAAAATTTTTATTATAAAATATGTTTTAAAATAAATTATCATCTAAAAATTTATATCAAATATTAAAAACATGTTTATATCATAAATAAATTAAACTTAGTTTTTATAAAATTCAAAATGTTTATAAAATAGGTTTTTAAGAACTTAGTTCTAACCAAACATTTAAAAAATGTCTATAATAGATAAATAAGTCATATTTAGGACACATATTTTTAAAGAAAATTAAGTTTAAACCTATTAAATTATAATATAATATAATCTGGCCTAATTTATTTTCATCCTTAATCGTAGATATAAAAAATAATTATGATATATATATATATATATATATTTATATTTATACTATTAAAAGTTATATGTAAAATTTTTAATACTACAAATATATGAATAAATAATATCCTCATTATCTATATTTTTTGAATTCATCATTATTTATAAGCATTATGTATAACTGTCATTTTTCAGGTATTTACCTTATATACGAATAAAAAACATGCATAATGATATAATTATCCAACAAATATAAAATTGTTTTGTTCTATAACTTTTTCTCTTTTATATAATTTTAATATTTTATGATTTTGCTTCCCATTACATGTTTTAACGGTTCAGTTAAACGAATTTTTTTTTTTGAAATTGACTTGCTTGAAAAGATTTTTTTGGAGAGAAAAAAATAGCAGACATCAAATGCACTGTGATTGATTTTAAATTTATCCAAAAAAATAAATACTTAGAGAGAAGAAATTAAAAATGATTTTTTTAATAAAATAAAATTAATTTATACAAAATAAATTTCTAGAGCATAAGTAGACATCTTACTAACTCGTTGACCAAGACTTGCAACAAGGAGCTTGCTCGGAAGTGTAGCTTTTTTTTTTTCCCTCAGCTCGATTTTTCTATCAAAAAGTGAAGCGTTATAGCAAGTCAAAACTGGTGGCTACGAGCTTCTGTTCCCAAATGCAAACCTTGGCTACTTGAGAAAGAACATGGTGCTGATGCTCATTGAAATCAAGAGTTGGCTGCACAAGCCAAAGGTACGGAAATTTGTTTGTTTTGTTTCATCTATTGTTGGGCTGATCTGTTACGCTTGCAGCTCTTCTTTCAATCGTTTATTTGGAAAGTGGACCCAATGGAAGATATCACTTTACATTGCTTTTAGTTTCTTCATAGTCTACCTTGTCCACCGATTCGCCACCAAAAGTGTGCACTTCAGCTCTCCCCGGCTGAAAGCTCATTCAGCCTTTTTGATTTTGCTTATAACTTCGGTATACTCCTTTTTCGTTGATGAAAAAGTGGGAGGGAAATCAGATGTATATAGCTTACTTTCTTCTGCTGCATTTGCTATCACGTCTTTGGGATTGTCAACTGATTTCCTGTATTTTTTCACTGGACTTCTAATAGTACAACTCATGAAAATCAATTTTTGGTTGGTTATTGTTGGAGGGGGTTTTAGTTATTCCCTCATAATTCTTCGTGCTACTTTGGATCCTCTATTGCCTATATCAAATAGACCTGAAGACCAAGTACCCCTCCTTCCAAGTGATCTCCATTCACCACCACAGGTACCCAGTGGTAGTGTTTCTCCACCAGATTTTCCACAACATACTGATGCCACTCTAGCCACAACCCAAGTTGGTTCAAGTTCACCACAAGGCAATATTATAAATAGAGGTCTCATCAGGACACAGTTCATGGGTCACATAGAGGAGCTTAAGAAGGAAAATGGGAAGGTTATCGACACAATTTTCAAGCATGTGGGTGAATACCTTAAGGCTAATGTTGTAAATGAGGACCAGATTCCGGTGCCGGAAATGCAAGCGGACGACAACTTGGTGGCGGATGCGTTGCCGCAGGGAATCATCACCAAAATTGGTGAAACCGGGAGGATGATGTCACAGAATGAGTGTTACAATGTGTACAGCAGATGCCGGAGCGATTTTTTAAAAGAGTGTCTGTCAGTGTTTGGATTGCAAGTTGAAGAGTTCAAGGCGGAGGAAATTGACAAGATGGAGAAGATTGAGAGTTGGATAAAGGCTTTGAACCTAACCGTGAGGATACTGTTTCCCAATGAAAGGAGACTCTGTGATCTTGTCTTCTCTTCATCTCATGCTGCTGATATCTCTTTCAGCAAAGTTTGCAAGGATTTGACTATTGGCCTACTGAGCTTCGTGAATTCCTTAGCCACTCAGAATCATCATTCGCCCTACCACTTGTCCCATGTCATCCCCAAAGTGTTCAAAACTTTGAGTGGGCTGATTCCAAATTTCAATTCACTGTTTTTTGGTCAGTTGCTGAGTGAATCACTCAGAAATGATGCTGTCCTTGTTGGGAAGAGATTAGGCATTTTTGTTGAGTTGGAGAGTCTTATTCAACGTGAGGTAGCGCAGGAGACTGTTCCTGATGGTGGGATTCATCCAACTACCCACAAAGTGATGGACTATCTCAGAGATGTTTTCACTGACAATGAGAATTTCTCAATTAGAAAGGGTATATCTTCATTTTCAGACCAGGTAGCCAGGATAATACAGGTGTTAGACAGCAATTTGGAAGCTAAGTCCACAAACTACAAAGATCATGCATTGGGCCATGTTTTCATGATAAATAATCTCATGCTTTTACAATATGGGGAACATATATATGGAGTCATTTTTGGTGAAGATTGGTACAGATCAAAGATCAACCAAAACATTGAACTCTATCAAAGAAGCTCATGGAATAAGATCTTGGAATGTTTAATGCCAGACCGCTGTGAGTCGATGGCTCCTAATGTTGTAGAAGGGTCGATGAAAGAGAAGCTCAAATTGTTCAATCAGCACTTCAACGAGATATGCAGAGCTCAGTCTGCATGGTTTATCTTCGATGAGGAACTAAGGGAACAAATGATAAAATCCATAGAGAACACATTGTTGCCGGCATATGGAAACTTTATTGGAAAGTTGCAAGATGTTATTGGTAAGGATGCTTATGACTTTATTGAGTATGGACTGCAGAATATTCAAGATCGACTGAGCCTTTTGTTTCTTGTAAGCAATGCATGAAGGCTGAGAGAAGGAAAGGATACTGAAGTTTGCAAGGATTTAGAATACAAAAATTTTGTTATCACAAACGTAATTATGAAAGATTTGAGATCATATATACTATACATCATTGTACATTTCAGTTCAAAATCACTGACGTGTTTTTTTATTTTATTTCCAAGTTGAAACGGGGAATAATTTTTGGTGAAATAAATTTTGACACAAAAGAAATGAATTCTACAAGTTGTTGCTAAAAAAAATGTTGACTTATCGAATTGAATTTGTCCACGTTACTTGAATATGATTATATTGTTGGAGAGTTTTTAACTCTTGGGAGCACTCCATACAATGGGTAGTGAGTAAGTCACACAAATGAACTTGACATTACAACATAACTTAAAATCTTAAGGTATTAGGTAGGTGGGTCTTTCTCACTTATATATTACTCAACATGTCTAACTCTAACCAATGTGGGACTTTGCTTCATACTTGAATTCCAACACTCCTCCTCAAGTGGAATCCCTTCCACATGGTCACGCTCCCCCTCAAGCGGAAGCTTTTTTTTTTGTGCACGAGTATTCAATGGTGGTCTTACTTGCACTGTCGTTGCACCTCAACGACACACGTCTTCCACACCTCTAGGGAGACTTTGAGCCGATCACCAGTCACTTGGTGAACCATCGACTCTGATACCACTATTGGGGAGTTTTTAACGCTAAGGAGCACTCCATACAATGGGTAGTGAGTAAGTCACACAAATGAGTTTGACACCACAACATAACCTAAAATCTTAAGGCATTAGGTAGGTAGGTCTTTCTCACTTATATATTACTCAACATGCCTAACTCTAACCAATGTGAGACTTCGCTTTACACTTGAATTTCAACACTGCCCCTCAAGTGTGAATCCCTTCCACATTGTCATGTTCCCCCTCAAGCGGAAACCTTTTTTTTTTTCCTCCACGAGTATTTGATGGTGGCCTTACTTGCACTACCGTTGCACTTCAACAACACACGTCCTCCACACCTTTAGGGAGACTTTCAGTACAAGGGATGATCCTACTCTTGGATCTCCTGCCAATTCCATTTAGGATTCCACTCTTGGATCCAGCCAATACTCGTCTGAGCCGATCACGAGTCATTTGGTCGAACCATTGTCTAAGCTAATCACCACCATAGGCTCTGATACCAATGTTGGGGAGCTTTTAACACCAGGGAAACACTTGAACTCCAACATATATATCCACTTGCTTTAAAAAAAAAACTTTTGAAATTCATAGCAAGTGGTGTGTCCATGAGGGTGGGTCTTGTAAATCAAATAGCAAAAACAATTTCTGATGAGAGTTCTTTAAGTGTGTTTCTGAAATATAAGAATCAGATTTTTTAAAATTTTATCACTAGATAGTGTGACATGTCATTTATGATGTATTATTCATTCTTATATAAAGACCCTTATGGTGATGATAAGAAGGTATGAAGAAACAATCCAGTGCAAAATAGATAAAATACGACTATGAAAATAACATTAATGTAATGACTAAAAATTATGGACAATATGTGTTTTTTAATAAAATTATTTAGAATTAGAATTTTGAACTTGGTTTGAAATAGATTATGTTAAGAGGAGAATATACACTTTCTATTACTGTTCTCAGTAAATATTAATTAGTGAAAACTTCATATCAATATCATAATTAAAAAATAAGTTAAAATATTACATTGATAGTATAGCACTTAGTTTACTAATTTTGAAGTTAACACGTGTCCGTACATGATGAGTGAAATTTCATTTCCTTCCCTTCAAAATTTCTTTCAAAATGCGAAGGGTTTATCCCAAGTCAATGGTAGTTATCATCTCATCTGTTCCTGCATGTAAACATTGTCTGAGAAGAACACAGTATGCTATTCAAAATTCAGAGTCGGTTGTTGCAACCAAAGGTATGGAGATTTGTGTGTTTTGTCTCATCTGTTGTTGGACTACTCAGCTACGCTCTCAGCTCCTCCTTCAATCAGTTATTTGGAGAGTGGAGCTGGTGGAAGATACTACTTTTTATTGTTTTCAGTTTCATCATTTCCCTTTTCGTCTTGTTTGCAAAGGCATGGCAGAATTCCACCTCTACCAGGCTGGAAGCTCATATAGCCTTTTTTACTTTGCTCATAACTTCTGTGTACTCATTTTTCTTGGATAAAGAAGTGAAAGGGAAACCAGATGCATATAGCCTTGTTTCCTGTGCCGCATTTGCTATCATGTCTCTAGGCTTGTCGAGACTGAGTCACCTTGGATTTGAGCTAGATCTCTTGTATTTTTTCAGTGGAATTTTAACAGTACAACTCATGAAAATAAAATTGTGGTTGGTAATTGTTGGAGGGAGTTTCAGTTATTCCCTCATCATTCTTCGTTCTAATTTGGATGCTTTGTCAAGAAGTGGGTATCTTGAACTCCATGTCCCAGACCATGTAGACATTGAAATTGCTTCGAATTCACATGGATCTGGTCACGTTGCTTCTCAAGTTGATTCAACCCAAGTAATTACTGGTGCTGGTAATACTCATCTTATGATTATCAGGCCACAAGAGGCCGATGCCACTCCACAAAATGAGGATCTAGGATTCTCGTTCTCTCAAGTTGGTTCAGCTTCACAAGAAGGCAAAAGTGGTCGTGATAATAGTATCATTGCACGGTTCATGGGTTGTATAGAAGCGCTTAAGAAGGAGAAAACAAACGTTATCCACACGATTTCCAAGCATGTAGACAAATACCTTAAGACTAATGTTGTCGTTGACGAGAACTATATTCCGGTGTCGGAAATTCATTGTGACGACAACTTGGTGATGGATGCATTGTCACCCGAAATTATCAATGACCTTCGTGAAAGCGTGAGGTTGATGGTGACAGCAGGATTTGAAGAAGAATGCTGCACAGCGTACTGTAGTTGCCGGAGGGTGTTTATGAATGAGATTCTCTCGATATTTGGATTGCAAGTGCAAGAGCTCAAAAGAAAGGAAATTGATATGATGAAGATAAAATCTTTGAACGCACTAGTGAGGATACTTTTTCCCAATGAAAGGAGACTCTGTGATCGTGTATTTGAAGGTTCCATTTCCTCTATGAGGGAGGTGTATGCGAATTTGACAATTCCTCTAATGATCATTGTCAATGCTTTAGCTATTTGGAGCAATTCGCCAAGTCCTTTTTCTGGCAAATTTTTGGAGTTGAAAAAACTTATTCTTACTTATGGTGATAAGGTTCAGGCCACTGTTCCCTGTGACGGGCTTCATCCGATTACCCGTGAAGTGATGAACTACATTCGTGATGTTTCCATAAATAGGAATAGTAGCCCAAGGCATGATTTGGAAGAATCCACCATGATTGATAGAGTGGGAAAGCTTTCTCTATCTGTGCACATGGCCAAGATAATGGAGCTGTTAGAGAGAAGTTTGAAAGCCAACTCCAAAAATTACAATAACCCTTCACTGGGTTACTTTTTCATCATGAACAATCGGAGGTTCATAGAGCTAGAGGTAGAATTATATGGATTAGGACCTATTATTGGTGATGACTGGCTTCGAAAAAACAGAACAAAATTTCAACAAAACCTTCAACTCTATCATAGAAGCTCATGGAATAAGATTGTGAACATTTTGAAGCTGGACATCAATGAGTCCCCTAATGTTGAAACTGAGTTATTGAAAGACAAGCTTAATTCTTTCAATGAACACTTTGATGAGATATGCAATGTTCAGTCTACGTGGTTTGTCTTTGATGAGCAGTTAAGGGAACAAATAATAAAATCTATAGACAACATCTTGTTGCCTGCATATGGAAGTTTCATCAAGAGGTTTCAGAATTTTCTTGAGAAGCAAGCTTATGAGTACATTAAGTATGGAATCTTTGATGTTAAAGAACATGTCAACAATTTGTTTCTAGTAAGGGAGTAGATGAATCCGATGCTATAACAGAAGGAAAATACCGAGTTAGCATAGATCTAAAATACAAAAGTTTTATTATTACAAACATAGTTCCAAAGAAAGTGTGTTTCATCACGAAATCACAAACGCCGAGTTTCCCTTTTATTTTGTTTACATGTTTTATGTTTAAGATTGGCTTGACTCAAATTCAAGTTTGTGTAGATTTTCGTAATTCTATGATGGAAGAGAAGAAAATGATACATAAGTTCGGTGGATTAAGAATAATGGCTTGAATCAAATTAAGGTCCAAGTTGTAACATGAAATACATATTTTATTTTATGTGTGGAAAAGGATCTGTAAACACATTTGTTAACAATTATAATTTATGACCACAAAGAAATAAAGAACCCATCGCTATCATCATAGGATTCCCTAGTATTCCAACCACTGGGTGTGGCATTTTTTTCTTTCTTCATTTAAAGAGATATCTCAAACAAGACCATCTCCGCCTCTTACAACATCACAATCCTTTTAAGTCAAGTATTACAGACTGATCCGAATTTTTCTTTGGCTAATCAATACAGAAAAAGTATCCTAGGGAGACTTTTGGGATTTATATACGTTGCGTCGTGGAATTGTTCTATTATGAAATGAGTTTCTTTTTCAAACACGTAATTTTTTTTTAATGGTAATTAAGTTTTGATGAGTTATTTTATTGTATTTATCTGACAGAATATTTTATAAGAATTATTTTTATAAAATTATTTCACATATAATTTTACAATGATAAAATATTATTCATTTTGAACTTAAATTCTCACGATTTTATTTTTTAGTTATTATCTAAATTTTTTTTTAAATTATTGAAATATATATATATATATATATATTTTATAAGTCTTTTTTTATTATATCGATATGAAACTTATTTGTATCCTAATACACGAACCATATATTATAATTAATATGCAATTGTGAATTTTCTAGTATTGTCTAAACTTGCATGGTTGCTTGGCAACCTTCATCATTTTTACGTTTTGCATTTGCCCTACAAGTATTTAACCTTTTATTTTATTTTATTTTATTTATAAAAAGAAGTATATAACATTTAAAAATGCAAGGCGATTTGCATTTGTCATTATTCAGAGGAAACATAGTATGTTATCTAATTGATGGTAAATCCAAATCTTTCATCCTTTATTTTCTTGACTAAGAAATAGTATACCCACTAAACTAATTATAAGGTTTGGTTGCGTGGGCTACTCAAATCATGTAAAATCCCTGGAAAGGCCACAGGAATAACGAATAAGTAATGTGACGGTTAAAATTTTAGGTTTGCTGTTAATCTATTTCTAGCTTTTAATCAAATTGACGGTCGAAAATAATTTATAATCAAATTTGAAATATAAATGTGGTGGAGTTGATGCGTTAGCATGTATGAATAGTTGATGCGTTAGCATGTATGAATCTCAAATAAAATACTTAAACTAAAGGTTAAAAACCTCATTTGATCCTTAATAATATTTTTTTATTTTAATTTAGTCTTACTTTAATTTTTTTGTTTTAATTTGGTCCCTAATAATTTAAATTATTACAATGTCAAATTTTTGACCAAATTATTTAAATAGAGTTAACTGTTGGACACATGGATGTCACGTAGATGCATAGGTAGATGCCAAATTTTTTTAATGCATTTGGAACTAGAACAGCCCGTTCTAAAACCAAAACGATCCGTTCTGCTTGCACTATTGGTGTGTTCTGGTTTCAAAACAGGTTGTTTTAGTTTTAGCACAAGTCGTTCTAGTTCCAGCTGTATTAAAGAAATTTGGCATCTACCTATGCATCCACGTGGCCAACAGTTAACTCTTTTTAAATAATTTGGACAGAAGTCTGATATTGCAGTAATTTAAATTATTAAGGATCAAATTAAAATCAAAAATTAAAGTGGGACTAAATTGAAAAAAATAATATTATAAGGAACTAAATTAATATTTTAACCTAAACTAAATAATGAATCAAGTTTAATTAATATATTTTTCACTAAATTAACTGTTTCAATAAAAGTGACAGTAGTCCATTAAGTTCCACTAAAATTAATAGCCAATTTTTTTTTTCAAAATAAAGAAACTCACAATTAGGGGTGGGTAGATGGACCCAGGTCCGCGGACCGGTCCGTAAACCCGCGGATTTCACGGATAACGGGCCCATTTTTTTTAAATCCGTATGATTATGTCTAATTTTTTAGCCCGGCCCGTTAAGTCCACGGACTTGGCGGATTTAATCCGCGGGCTTGCGGGCTAGTCCGCGGACTTCATATTTAATATTTTTAGATATTATGATTTTAATATTAAGCTGTGTATTTAATTTCTTAAAATTATTATAACATTAAAATTATGTTTAATTGATATATATTTGTCATTTGAATTATTCTTATGACATTTTGATGCTTTTATTATTGAAAGTTTGGTACTATTATTTAAGTATTTGTAATTATTTTTATTTTAATATTTTAATATTTTGTATTTTAAACCATTTTAACTAGTGATAAATTTTAGTATGATAAAATTTAGCTTATATATAAAAAATATTTTTTTTTCTTCTAATTTTATGTATTTTTATTTTTAAAAATTTATTTTTTTGAACCATTATTTTGGCCTGCGGACCGGTCCGTTATCCGCGAATTTTGGCGGGCCGGATATGGACTTAAAAAATAAGTCCATTTATTTTACGGATCGGACTTATCCAACCCATATAAAACGCGAGTTTGACGGACCAGGCCTTAAACGGGCAGACCGGTCCTTATACCTACCCCTACTCACAATGTACACCGGCTCATTTTATTTTTCCATAATTTCAAGTCCACGAGTAGAAGTAGAAGAGAAACGTAGCTTTCCGTTCTCTTTTCTTGAAATTTCTATCAAAAAGTGAAGGGTTTATTCCAAGCCAAGACTGGGGCTATCAGCTTCTCTGTTCATGAAGTTCTGCTTGCTTGAGAAAAAACATCATGCTCAACATAATTCAGTGTTGGCTGTGTCAGCCAAAGGTATGGAGATACGTGTGTTTTGTTTCATCTGTTGTTGGACTGCTATGTTACGCTCTCAGTTCCTCTTTCAGTCATTTATTTGGAAAGTGGACCTTGTGGAAGATACTACTTTATATTGTTTTCAGTTTCATCATTTCCCTTGCCGTCTTGTTTGCAAGGACATGGGAGTGCTTCACTTCTTCCAGGTTAGAAGCTCACATGGCCTTCTTGATTTTGCTCATGACTTCTGTGTACTCATTTTTCTTGGACAAAGAAGTGAAAGGTAAACCAGATGCATATAGCCTGATTTCATGTGTGGCATTTTCTATCATGTCTTTAGGTTTGTCAAGACTGAGTCACTTTGGATTTGAGGTCGATCTCCTGTACTTTTTCAGTGGTGCTTTAATAGTACAACTCATGAAAATAAAATTATGGTTAGTCATTGTTGGAGGGAGTTTCAGTTATTCTCTTATCATTCTGCGTTCCACTCTGGACCCTCGGTCAAGGAGTAGATTTCATAGATTTCAAGACCAAGATCATGTAGTGGTTGAAATTGGTTCGCATTCACAATCACGAGCAATTATTATTGCCCCTGATAATCCTCATCCACAACCAGTCACTGATATTGTTTGGCCTTCTCGAGGAAACAATCATAGTGCTTCTCATGTGGATTCTCCCCAAGAGGCTAATGTCCCTCCAGGAAATAGAGACAATAATAGTACCATGGCAAAGTTCATGCTTTCTATAGAGGCGCTTCAGAAGGAGAACAAGAGTGTTATTAGCACAATTACCAAGCATGTTGGTGAATATCTTAAAGCTAATGTTCTTGATGAGGACCAGACTTCAGTGCCGAAATTGCATCCTGACGACAACTTGTTGATTGATGTGTTGCCGCGGGGGATTGTCAAAGAACTTCATCAAAGCGTAAAGCAGATGGCGTTAGATGGGTTTAAGAAGGAATGCTTACAAGTGTACACTAGTTGCCGAAGGGAGTTTCTGAAAGAGTGCCTATCCA